AAAGTTATTATGGGCAAACGCGACGCAGGTATGTGACGAGTATCACGTTACGTCACCTTTTATCATGAATAGTGAGACTATGGTGGAAAATAGAGGTGGAAATTTCTAGAATAGGGTAGAATAATCAACAAATGTAAACATGTAAACAGTAGACACAAGTATAAATACATGTGTAATTCAGTAGCATGCAAGGTAGGTTATAAACGATAAAGTAACGCTTAAAGATAACTCTTACCTTATGTTTATTGTGTCCAAGAGAAGTTATAAATTGGGTAAGCGAATACAAGAGAGAACCGAAGTTTACCTAAGGGAATTGGCATTGAAAGGTTTCTAGGATAGTTGGTAGAAAAGTTAAAAGCGAAGATCGGCCAGTCAAAGATACGCCTCATGCTTACCTTATTTTTGAATAGCCGACCGATTGAAGCGAAGTGTGAAAGATTGGCGACGGACTTTCCGGAAGCCCGTAACATTGTATAGAGCAACGAACCATAAGCACCTTGTTTTTCACTGATAATATGTAATTAGGCCCGGTTCTAGGACTAGTATAACTGGTTCTAGTCGAGTGACATTTTCAAGTTTGTAAGAAATATTATGATATGAAGCCGTAAATAATCACATTTAAAACATAAATAATATCGAAAATAATAAGCTCATAGAAACAAAATTCTCTATTCTGTGAACAAAACACCAATTTAATTTATTTCAAGTTCCCAGACGACTAAATTCGATGTTCTTATTTTGTAATTTTTATTAAAATTCATGATTAATTTATTAAAAGTGTAATAATAATATTGATCTTTATTTTCCTAAAACCAAATTTTGAAAACCAGATATCAAAAAAAAAGCCCTCAACACTTCAAACTGTTTCCTTATACTGTAGTCACAATTTCTAATTACTTTAATAAATTTAGCTCAAACGAAAATGCCGAAAGTAAATGTTAGTTCAATATAAATTACAATTTTCTTAATTTAACTTTATAAATTACATTTTTCTCAAATTTACTTTATTAATTACATCTGTTAACTGACTGAAGGAGCAGATATACAGTATTTTCACTGCATATCTCAAAAGAATTTTAAAATCTGTCATTAAATAATTGACTAGACAGTATTTTGTGGATACAAATATTTACATGCACTAGTACCTATTGTTATAGGGTAATAGGGTTGGTAACGAGAAAATCAGGACGCATTGCGCAATAATGGGAAATGACGGTAGAAGGATATAATAATGTGATAATAGCATGTAATGGGAGGGAACACGACAACAAGACATATAAATCGATAGTTTTACATAGAGTATAGAGTTAAGTTTTGGGACACTTGTTTTGTTTTTTTTCTCGCGCTTTATTAAAATAAATGCTATGCTACTTCGCACAAAAATATTTACATCCCTAAAGCACAAACTCAGACTAACGCCACAACAGTAAAGTTAATGACTTTAAGAGATAGACGCGACGTTACCTTTTGCACCGTAAAGAGAGACGCTTGCAATCTTGAGACACCTAGAGAGACGGTCAAGAAGAGATTATCAAGTTCGCGAAAATCGGGCCAAATCGTATTCAGCCTTAGTGTTAAAGCCTTGCCTTATTTAGTGCCGAAATCCAAGAGTTCGGATTATTGTCACGCGAAAAGTGAGCCGTTGTAGCGACTCGCTGATGACGACAATACTATTTTATTATTAATTTCCTGGAACATAGCGTGCGGCTGTTGATTATTCTGCAGGCTTTGAAGATCCGGTCGCATGATGAATGTTTATTTGACGTTGGCTTCATTTCCAAGCAACAATAGTCTCTCTAATAGATTTTAAAATATAAGTATAAAATTTAAACAGTAGATAAAATTCATGCATATATTTCAATACTACAATAGTTTCTATAAACGAATATAAATTGAAATCACTAATTTTATTAATTGATATAAAATTTATATTTGCGTATGTTTTATTCCTAAGGAAAAATGGAAATAATTTTAATCCACGAATATGATGACGTGTGGAAATAGCGGTATAAGTTCTTAGTAATCTTCAAAAAATATTGTAGATAAATAGGTTAAAAAATCGATTCACAAAAATTAGCTTTTGAATAATACAATTAAACTTACTAGGAGGGTCTGTTTTAATAAAATAAGGAAGTCGTAATATCAATTAAAGGTATTATTTTAAAGACTATATTTACGTTCCAATATTTCTAATAAAAAATGTATTAATATAATTGATTCGAAATATTAACTTACAAAATACCAAAGTTATACTCACAGCCTAATTGTTTGATCACGTAAAAAAATAATGAACATTAAAGAAAAAAATTTTTTTAAAAAATGCATATATAATAAACCCTACTCACAAATTACTGTATTTCAATAAAATATAAATGAGTCGTAAAATTGATTAGAGAGACAATTAACACAAACAAAAATAAAACAAACAATGACATGATATTTATGCTTACCGGTTAATTTTTGGTTTAATAGAGATATCATAAAATTATTTTAAAAATGTGAGATAAAATTCTAACATATAATAATCTATACTTCTATTAATTAATAAATTATAAATCAATAATAAAAAGAAAATACGTGGCATTGATATTTATACTTACCAGCTAAGAGTTCGATAAAATAATATTTAAAAATAATAATAATAATATGGCCAAGAAAATGCTGACATGATAACTAGATAATATACTTACGTTCATGATTACTCTCTAATAGTTAATAAAATGAACATGTAGTAAATGGATTATAATAAAGCCCATCAAGATTTTTTTGAAGTAAACGCCGGAGACAACAGAACGAAGGAATATATGAGTAAAATTATCCATAAACGGTAATTAAAAGAAAAAAATCAATCAACATTTACTTTTGTTCATTTTAGCATTTCTCGGTCTCTTAAAGCTAAAAACAAGTAAATATACTTTAATAAATGCGAACTATCGATTTAATAAAATCAATTAATTTACTTTTATCAACAGAACTTGTGACTTTTGTAAGGGTAAAAAAAAATCAGATGGTTAAGACGCGACAATGTCACATGACCAATTTTAACATGAGTATCGTGAAGTATCAACCTGCAATAACAATGATTAATGAATGACGAACAATAACAGAGATAATATGTAATATAGAATCACTTACCTTTAATTGTCTAGAATTTTGATCTTTTCTTTAGTGTTCTAAAAGCTTCCATCTAAATGCTGTCAATAACATGTATAAAATCCAAAGAAAAGTATTAAATAAAGGATGGAAAATTCGGTTAAGTCAAATACGCCTCTTTTGAGTTTTTATTGTTAAAACTAAAGTGACGGTTGCGCGAATTCTGTTCCCAGCTAGCGATATACTTGCCGTTAGCCCGTCACACTGTCAAGGAAAATAGAATCGCGGAAGCAAACAATAAGATAAAAAAGAGTTTGAAGTTCATTTTGGACACCGTTCTTAGAATTTGGTCTATTAAAAAAATAAAGCCAATAAATTTTAATATTTTAATAAAAATTAATTATGATTTAAAAAGAATTACACGAAAATAATCTTATCTTCTAATTTTCTTTGAATAATCTCGAAATAATATGGATTTACTGTATTTTGTCACAATTGTGTTTTGTATTTACAGTATAAAACTTTAGATGATCATAGTGTTCCAGAATATAGAGTTACAAAAGTCTATTTTGGCCTACCACCTTTTCATGCAGATAACTCATTAAAATGAATGTTATATGAGTGTACAAAAAAAGCAAATCTTGTTCGTACAAAATTAGTCATGACCATATATTTAATGTAAAACTCATTTTTCAATAAAGATAATGTGTAAATGGGAGAATTTTCTCTTACAATATTAGCCGTTTTCCAAAAAATTTAAAGTAAACTAATTTCTAAAACAACAAATTATATGAATGTGCAAAAAAGTCCCATACATACCACATGCTAAGCAATTCCGGATTTCCAATGGCGAAATTGTGCAAACAAAGAATTTGTCTCAGACGGAAATTAGCCAAACTTAAAAACACCCCGATTTTTCAATGACGAATAATTCGATATATCTAAAATTAAGTGTTATATGAAATTACAAAATTGCAAAAATTTAATTGAATAAATTTAGCCGTTACTAATCAATGATTATTGTAATATCCAAAATTTGATGAAATTTGTTTCAATCGATCTTACTTGTACTACATCGTGGACAATACGAGACCATTAACAGTTTAATTTCCAAAGGTTTATGCATTAGTATCAAGCATATCAATAAGAATCTACCATTGTATTAACAATACAGTAGCAAATAAATATCAATAAGCTAATTTCTTCGATTTACATGTGATATTCATTGTACATACAGTACTGACCCGACGCGCTGACGAAGTCGCACAAGGGGTATTATCACGAGGATCTTTCCTATATCAGATTCGTGTAACGAGAAAGAATACTTAAGAAAATGGTTATTATTGTAGATCAGTTTAGTGTTTTCTTATCTTCGTTGCCCGATTACTTTCCGGCTCTTTCGTGTTTGCTCCTACGTCATGTCAAAATAATAAAATAACTAGATATCTAAATAGCAAAAATAACTGAATAACGAAATATTGATGTCATGTACATTTAACGCCATGGAATCTAACGTATCAAAAGAAGACCTCGAGCAAATCTGTAAGGGACTTGGGATACCTACAGGGGGAGTTAAAGCTGATCTTCTCCAAAAATTAAAAGAATACTCAAAAGAAAAAGGAAAAGCCAAGGAATCCGAAACCATAAATAATGATAATGGGAAACATAATAATAATGATGCCAACTCAACTATATCTGACCACAATTCCGACAAAATGGATATCGACCCACAAACACAAACTTTGAGAGAGCTAGCATTAAAATCAAAAACTAAAACAAGAACTTTATCAATCATTTTAGACATAGATGAACTTACCACTTCACGGCACCATACAAACGAAACACCTCTAAAAGCTCAAAAGAGGCCATGAAAGCATAAGCTACATGAAGAAAAAAGTGATGATATAATGGAAAGTAGAGTGCTATCTGAGTTTAAAAAACTAGAAAGTGTCATCCTAAACTTTAATGATAGACTAAATTCTGTAACTGATCAGGTTTACGACACTTGCCAAAAAGTGAAAATTGACAAAACATGGCCAGTACACAAATTTGAAAAGAATCGTGATCAACATGAATACGATTCTTTACGTATAATTAGAAAGGAACTCGATCTTGCATTAAAATCTAGAGATCTAGACGAAGTCGTAATCCATATTGATCGTGCTCGAAAAGAAACAGAAAATAGAATATTTACTATACGCGTTGCTGAAGGATATGGCTGGAATATTGTATCTGTCTTACCTGATACCCAAGACGAATGGATGAAAGGGAAAAATGAGTTAATCGAGAAAGCGAAAACACTAGTGGATGCAAAAAAGAATAAATGGATAAAATCCTATGAATTTAATAAATCGTTGACATATCCTTACGCTAAGCATAGCTCCCAAAACAACTACCAAAATACTTACCTGCACAGCGATCAAAACAACTACCAAAATTCTAACAAATTTTTTCGTCCCTATAATTAACTCCCAAACCATTCTATAAAGAACTCAGGTAGATGATACATCTGCGAAGGTTATGGACACTTTGCTTATAACTGCTCTTCAGATTCAAACAGAAACCCCAAATATCATCAAAATTACCATCCCAACTACCAATCAAGAGGCTATAACACCTATAAGAATATATATAGCCGAACCCAAGACGATGCAAAGCGCGATTGACTACACTCGGGCCCTGCAACACCTACCTGTAACAGGACGACTACATATAAAGGAACATGTTCAATACTGGAAAAAGAAAATTCACGCACCAGACTTGATCATCAATTGGCTGAGATTTGGAATTCCCTTGTTCTCAAAAAATCTACTACATCTTACAAAACAACCAGATCCACTCCAATACCTCCTGACAGATACTCAGATGCTATGGCTAAATGGTGAGATAAGAAGACTCTCAAAAATAGGTGCAATAGTACTAGCATCGAATTCAGATTACCATCCATCTTCGTTGCTCGAAGTGAGCCCCGTTTTCCTAACCCCAAAATCCGGCCCAAAGAAATGGCGACTAGTGATCGATCTCAGTCGCCTAAATGCTACACTCCCAGAGAAGTCTTTCAGATTCAAGGGTTTGAAGATCTTCTTGCGTATGGTAGGCCGAAACTGGTGGGTAATTGTTCTAGACCTAAAAGAAGGATACTATCATATATTAATGGACACAAAAGTGCAAAGACTACTTGGATTCAAGATAGGAAAAAATTGGTACCATTATAGAGTACTTCCGTTTGGCCTAAGTTAAGTGGTCTGGATATTTTCAAAGATCATGTGGGCTTTGATTGGACATTGGCGGTCGAATGGTATCTTTTGCGGGAATCACGTGGACGATATTTGGATTGCACACCCATGCATAGAAACCCTTGTTCAAATCAGAGATTCAACCATACTACGGGATCTAAAAAATTGTGAATTTATCCTTGCCAAAAAAAGTCACTTGGAACCTATCCAGCAACCCAAAATCTATGGGATGATCCTGAATATGGAAATGGGAATGGTCACAGCTCTGGACTCAAAAATAAACAATACCTTATGCTACCTACAGAATCTTCTACTTACGACCAAAGTTACTGCTCATTACCTATCTTCAGCCACGGGAAAACTTATGAGCCTGAGTCATGCCTTCACATATGCAAAAGTCCGATGCCTGAAGCTCTATTCACTGATTGACGCAGAACATCGAAGACCTTGGGAATGGAACAATCAAATCCATTTAACGAAACAAGTGCAAATAAACATAGATTAGGTAATAACGAACCTGAAAGAGAAGAATAAAAAACTCGCATGAAAGCCCTCTCAGATAATATCGTTATTCATGGATGCTTCAACGACGGGATGGTCAGCAACGCTGGGACAAGAGCAGGTCTTCGGAAATTGGGAATATCGATACAGCCATACAGACATTGCGCAACTCGAATCAACTGCCACCCTCCTCGGTCTGGAGTCATTCCTACAGGAAATAAAGCACAGATAGATCACTGTATTCATAGACAACCGAGTTGCCCAAAAAACTGTGGAATCTGGGGGAAAACGACCCTGGCAAAAAGAAATAATGTGCGAAATTTGGAATTTTTGCGATCAACATGACATACAAATCCACGAATTCTTATGGGTTTCATCAAAACTAAATCTGGCAGATGCCTTGACAAGACACTTTGACGAGTCTGACTGGTCACTCGCCCAACACTTATTCGAAATGTTAGATTCAAAATGGGGTCCCATCACGATCGACAGGATGGCGAACTACTAGACAAGAAAAGTTGCTCATTTTAACAGCCACTTCCATTGTTCAAATTCGAAAGCCGTGGACTGTTTTACACAAAGCTGGATACTAGAAAACAACTATGTTTACCCCACTAAGTATGATACACAGGGTATTCGAATATGGGATACAATCCCACACAAGAATAATTATGATCATTCCAGTATGGCCTTCAGCACCATGGTGGCCGATCCTGCTTCGACTGACCATCGAATCAATAAATCTACCACCAGCAACCAAAAGTTTCCTATCAAGCCCAGGAGAAATTTCCTACCGGAACCCTGAAAAAATTAACACTGGCGATTTCAAGCAGTAAAAATTCATTTTTAGATTTGCTCCTCACTAAAGCGAATGAAATTATATTGCCAAAATCAACATACAAGAAACGACTAAACAAGCTATGGATCGAATTTGACACCTTTTACAAAATACATAACCTGAACTCTTGCCCAACCCACCCAAACACTATACTAATGTTTCTAACGTGGTTCAATTTACTATCACGATCTATGAAACCTCATTTTTTCTTGGTGGCAATTAGCAAATTCCACCAAAAGAAATCACTTCTTGACCCTACCTTAGACCATAATGTTTAGAACCTTGTGAAGAGATTAACTAAACTAGCAGCTTTCAATAAAGAAGCTATCTGACCACAGGACCTTTTGCCAGTAGAAGCCCTCCGAAACTATTGTTGACGTCTCTCTCGACGAGTCTGTCGCTTCTCCTAAGCAATCCTCGCGTTACGTCAGGTAAGGTTTTTGGGCTTTTCTACTCCGAGGCGTGTGATTTTGTTTAGCCAAGTTTTACTAATCCTTTCCTTTTCTTTCCATTGTCCACTTCTTTCGTCTGGTCTCTTATCACTTTCCCTTGTGATTCTAGACGTCCTCCCGTGGCAAGTACTGGATAAGGTAACTTAATTTAGAAATTACTCAGTTTGGAAACGTTAATCGCGCATCCCGATTAGGAAGTTGGTAATTAAAGAGCGGTTTTCTTTATTAATATTATTTATTTTATTATTTTTGTTGACTCTCTTTTCTCTCTCTCTTCTCTCTTTCTTTTTATAGGACCATAACGTGTCTTTCTAAGCTATGATCGCGTTATGCATCTTCTGCTGAGCTGTAATAAACTATTTGTAATTATTAAGCGGATTAAAGTCATGGCTAATTTAAGCTTCTAAAATTACATCATGTTGCTATAGACTATAGATGATCTACTGATGAAAATCAGGGTACGCGACGTGCCGGAATGTGTTCGTGCTGTCGCGCCCCACATTACTTTCCCGCCAACACTATGTAGACAACCCACCTGTAGATGCCTCTCACAAAATCTGGAAACAAGACTGCGCCATGATTGCTATCGGCCTTTGAACCATGCGGTGACCTGCCGAGCTTTACACCCTACGAATAAATAATGTAAAAATAATAGATGACATTTGTTGGATCAGAATAAACCGATCAAAAACTGACCAACTTGCAAAGGGAAAATTTATACCTATCAAACCCATAGACTCAAAATATTGCCCATTAAAACTGCTCTATAAGTACCTCAGTTTAAAGAAAATAGTTAAGGATTACAACCCATTATTCGTAAATACACAAGGAAAGTGTATGACGACTGGAACAGTAAACGCGATAGTAAAAAGAATTGCATGTCACGCAAATCTAGAAAGAAGATACTCTGGTTATAGTGTAAAAATTGGGGGTGCCATAAGCACTATGAAAGCAGGATTAACACTATCCCAGATCATGAGCATCGGGAGCTGGCTGTCACAGTCGATAACTCTATACCTCAGATCAATATTTACAACACTGCAAAATACTTCAAAGAGAATGGGATTCTAAGTATCTTATACTAACAAATACAATCCTTTTTTTTTTTCCATATCGTTTCTTCATGTAACAAACTGGTAGAATAAAAAGTATCCGAGTGAGAATAATGATCCGACGTGCTGACGAAGTCGCGCAAGGGATATTATCACAAGGATCTTTCCTATATCAGATTCGTGTAATGAGAAAGAATACTTAAGAAAATAGTTATTATTGTAGATCAGTTTAGTGTTTTCTTACCTTCGTTGCCCAATTACTTTCCGGCTCTTTCGTGTTCGCTCCCACCCACTACTCCCTATTACCTGATACATGATATTTACGCAGAATACAGTTAAGTTTTTACGTACAAGCACTGTTGCGCTACACCTTCACGTGGGCCTTCAGCATCGATACGCTACATCTTGCGTAAGCCATTACCGTATATGTGCCGTACCCTCGAGTGAACCATCTCTAACTTTAAGATCATATGAAAAAAGTATAAGAAATGTAGATGATGCACCACACCTTGCGTGAGGTCATCATATAAAGAGATTTGCAAAAAAAAAAAAAATGTAGTGATGCATCGCACCTTGCGTGAGGTCATTATATAAAAGATTTGCATAAAAAATGTAGTGATACATCGTACCTTGTGTAAGGTCATCATAAACAATATAAAAAAGATGAGCTATACCATGCGTGTGCCATCTTTACCAATACCGATTCTCTGTTTTACCTTCGTCACATGATTGTCACGGGATACACCACCATAACGAATAAAAATGTGATACATTTTACAAAAGAAAAGACTAAAATTAAGAAATGAAAGAGTTAGAGACACGATGCAGGATAGTATAGGAAACACTACTCCTATATTGTTTCTTCATGTAACAAACTGATAGAATAAAAAGTATCCAAGTGAGAATAATAGTTAATTACTTTATTTGACTAATTTAGTACGTTTGAAACAATAATGCAAGATGTAATAACATTATATGATACTAGTTTAATTTAGCAAAAAACTGCCATTATCATAATACAGTACTGTATGTATTCAGATTAAGCGGCAACGTATTTTATATACTGTATATAAAGATTTTATAAAAAAAATACCAAGAAAGTTATTATTATATATTGTTTAAGACAACTAATAGAGCTCCTTGGATTTTTTTCTCAAATGCAAAGTCTAAGCACCCAAGAATCGGCAGTTCCCAAGAGGAAATAACCAGACCAGTACTGTGCACCATTAGATGCTTAATTTTATACTTATCACTATTTGACCTAGATTTTTTTTGTATCGTTATAGGAACAATAGGGATGAGAACGTGATATTGTGGTGTGTCGCATAATAATAGTGTCAGTGATGATGGAATGATGTAATAATTGATAATAGCATATAATGGGTGTTTACGCGTTAACAAGACATATAAATAGAATAGTTTTGATAGCTTAGGAGGGGTTCCGATCAATGACATAAAGTCTTGTTTTTTTTTAACACTTCTGGTTTTGGGCACACTCGCACTTTATTAAATAAATGCTATTTCGCTTCGCACAATAAACAAGAATATATTCTTTAAAATATAAACTAAGTCTACACTACTACAGTAAGTAACGACTTTAAGAGAGACGCGATGTTACCTTTTTCTTCGTGAAGAGAGTGACATTTGTAATCTTGAGACGCGCCTAGAGAGAAAGACGGTCAAGAAGAGATTAGCAAGTGCGCAAAAGTCGGTCAAATCGTAATCCGCCTCAGAGTTAAAGCCTTACCTTATTTAGTGCCGAAATCCAAGCGTTCAGATTATCATCAAACGAAGAGTGCACCGTTTTAGCAACAGACTCGCCGGTGACGACAACAGTATATTATTTTTTATTTGCATTATATAAATAGTTTTGATGCTTCTAATTGCATAATTTTGAATAAAAAAAATTATTATTGGAACATCTTCGGTACAACAATTGACTTATCTCTAGAACTACAGCCTCCTTATTTAATTTGTATATAAATTTTGAAGCTTAACACGCTACCAAATAAGAGGACAATTTTATTGATTTAATAAAGTCATTGAAAGTAATAAAAAAATATTAGGCTTACTGCTTATCACTAAAAATAAAAAATCCAAGTGTTGTATTACAATAAAAAAGAATTTGTTATTATCTGATTTGCTAGATTAATTAACAATAAAATTTCTTGTTTATATTTCTTATAGTTGATACAATGGAAAGTTTTTTTTACGGTTTGCAAGACACGTCTTATTATTAAAATTTAAGAGGTTAAAATATCAATTAAGATTCAAATTGCAATAGCCATTGGCAATCATAATATAATATAAATATTAAAATATTGTGCCAATAATTTTTCTTTTATACTATCTTCATTGAAAACCCAGTTTCGTCTTGAAAGATGTACTATTGATTTTTTTATATGCAAAAATTCTTTTTTGTATGCTCAAATAACATTTAATTTTAGAAATTTTCTCATGGAAAGATATTTTATATAAAAATATTCATCATAATTAATCTCTATACAATAATTTCATTTTTTAGATTGTCTTATTGAAAAACTAGTTTTTGTTTAATCGGGAAGCCCCGCTAATTTTACGTACGAAATACAACATATTTTGCTTTTTTGCACACTCATATAATATTTTATTTGGAAATTATCTGCATGATGAGATGTTCTACTTTAATGTAGGCACGACTGAACTGTGCGAGAAAAAAAAAACAACACTGTAACACCATTCAAAGTTTTATAAATACAGCACGGAAACATAAGAAAATGCAAATCCAATAACTTATTCGATTACTAAGAAAATAACATTATTCCTTGTGTAAATTTTTTTTTAACCATAGTTAATCTTATTAAAAGATTTTATTAGATTCAAATTTAATTCGATTTTTTTTTAGAACTAAATTCAATAATCGACCTTTAAAATGAACTTCAAACTTTTAATCCTAGTGTTGGCTTCCGTGATTCTGTTTTCTTTGGCAGTCGCAAGTCCCGTAGATAAAAGTAAATTTCAATTGATTCCATTAAAAATTAATATTTACATTTTTTTATTAAATATAATTTCCTTGTTATTAGATTTAATTATTAGGGAAGCTAACATACCACGTAATAGTAAGTATTAACTGATTTTGTTAAAAAGTTATATTTCGCATTTATAAAAGACATAAATTATATGATCCTGAAGCAGTTATTATAAGCAACACAGATAGTAAAGGTCATATTATAAAATTCACAGATATTGATGGTCCATCCATAGTTACAAATTGACAATGACACTTTTCGAAATAAATATAATTATTTTTTTTTTACTATAGGCAAAATGGTCAATAACAGTTGTTATCGGCCAATTAAACTTTGTAATTTAATAGTTATTGGTCAATTAAACTTTGTAATTTATTAATTATCAGAAATTTAAACTTTTGCTATGATGCTATAATTATACGTATTATAACTACAATACATTAATTATACATTATTATTTAATTAAATGTTACTGAATCAGCAGTAAAGTTATAATAATTATTAATCGTTGTAGATTTATCAAGTGAATTTAAAGGAGTTTTTTGCAAATATCTTATGCCACCTAATGTCAGATTTTTTATAAATGCATTAGGATGCAACGATAAATTCAATCTTGTATTATTTTTAAAAGGTACATAAAAATCACTTGAGTCACTTGAATTATTCGATTTAGATGTTGAGCCAGGTTGTGATACTGACGAAAATTCTTGAGATGATGGTAATTCATTAGAATTTTTTGAAAATTTCTATAAAATAAATTAACCATTAATAAAAAAAATTAAAATAAATTAATAAAAAAAATTTTTTAAATATTACTTCAATTGACGGCAAGTCACCAGCAGTTTCAATTAATAATGATAAAGCTTCTTCTTTTTGTTTATCTGAAGGTCTTGAATAAATTCTAAATGAAGATTCACTTTTATGACCTGTGATTGCCATAGAAGTTGTAATCGGTACACCAGCTTGATAGAGAGAAGTAATTGGTATTGTACGGCCTGAATGATTGACAATATCCCGACCTTCAATATTAATACCTGATGCATTACAAATACTTTTCATCAAGTTTGCACAGGTTTTAGATCCAAGTTTCGAATCAAGATACCATTCTCCGCGAATTATAGCTATATTTATTATACGTAATGGTAAGTTAAAAATCTTTAAAAAATTTTAAATATACTTATATATATATATATATCTTGTGAATGATTATTAATTTTTAAATGTAAAAATTCACATTTAAAATTTTTTGGTTGATGTTCAATATATAGTTTTATATCATGAACAGGGCCAAGTAATCCTTTAGAATCAGGTGGTACAGGAATAATCAAAGAATCCAAATTACCATTGATTCCATCTTGATCATTCTTTTGTGAAAATTTTGTAAAATGTAATCCACCATCTTGAGTAAATACAAATTGTAATACACGCATTTCTGCATGTTTACCACCTCGAGAAGCAAAAAGTAAACAACACCACATGAAAACACAATACTGTAAACCTTGTGAATAAGATGTTGATGTTGCTTCATGATTGAATATTGTATGAACTTCTGAATTAACCAGTGGATCATGATGACAAGTAATTTTTCCAATTTTTTTAAGTTGTTTCATTTTTCCGTCAAGAGTTTTCCATAATTCTCTAAATTCTTGCTTGCTGCCCAAATTATATTTATTAATATTGAGTGGCTGATCCATAAAATATGTCGCGAGACAGTTAATTTCATTGCATAATGATAATGGCGCATATTCTTCTCCACTATTTATTTGACGAACACCACAGATAAATTCAATCATTTCTTGCTCAAGTTCCTGTTTATTTTGAATGGTTTTGATTTAACGTTTATAACCCACAGCCTTACGCCAATTATTTAATATTTACACCCATTTATCAACAGATTTTCTTGTATTATCTGGAATATTCAAGTTTCTAATATGCTGAATTTCTTTTGCTGAAGGTTTATAATTTCCGGATTTCATTTTAAGAGTCTTTTGCTAAAAAAAAATTTTTTTTAATAAAATTTTTAATTAAATTAAATTAAAATTTCTTTATACATATTTTCGGCATTTTACTTTGTAAAAAAGAGAAAAAAATCCGAAATGATAAATTTTCTTTAAAAGTTATATTTATACTATTTAAAAAATTATGTCATCGATATAGTATAAATATATCTTTAATAGCACACGTGCAATTAGAGAAATATTTTCGAAGAATAAAAAAAAAATAAAACCGTTATTGTATGCTTCATATTCCAATAACAATTGTATCAAAGATACTCTTTTTATCAGTCATATGACTGATAAAACTGTTATTAGATGCTACGCATTCAATAACTATATATTCTTGTTATTAGGTTTAAAAGAGCGGGTAGTTGGCATGCCACTTGATGGTAAGTATCAATTTATTTCGTTAAAAATTTATATTTGAATTTATAATAAGACATAAAAATTTGTAAATTAGATGATCCCGTATCAAATATTATAATAAGTAATCCGGATAGTGAAGGTTCTATTACAAAATTCACAGATCTTGAAGGTCTATTAATAGTTACAAATTGACAATAACACATGTCTAATTTAATTTAATTCTTGTTATTAGGTTTAAAAGAGCGGGAAGTTGGTATAGCATGTGATAGTAAGTATTAATTTATTTCGTTAAATTTTTATATTTCACCTAAATAATGTGGCATAAATATTTCTATTTAACTATAAATTTAGATGGTCCTGAAGAGGTTAATTTAAAATACTCAATGGGTAAAGATCCATCTAAAGTTGTATTTTGATGATGACACTTTTCAAATAATAAGGCGGTGTTTGTTGATTTATTATTGATAACGCAAATTATTATTTTTCATCAGTTTATTATATTACATAAATAAATTTACGTTATAGTTTTTATTATTGTAAAAATTCAATTATGATATATTTAATTTAAAAGTTATCAAGTGTAAAAAATGCATCAAATTATGGATTCAACAGTTTTTCTGATCCAATAGTTCTGTTTTTCCTGTCCTATAATATTCTTTTTATTCAATATACAGTATATAAAAGTATAAATAATGGAGAATTACAAAAATCGAATAATTTGATTTTTTAATAAAATTTTGATAATATTTACAATATACTGTATATATGACAAAATAAAGAGCAGACCTAACTTTTAAGTCTTATTTAGCTGATTATTGTAAAATTACACTTAAATATTTATTAAATATTTTTAATAAGATTAATTATTATATCTGAATTTATAAAAACATTGATTCTTTACTAATATAACAATGATCAAATTAATTCGTAAGTTCTAATTGAAATTTTATTTTAAATAATTAGAATATCTTTATTAAAATTATATTCAGGACCTTATAATTTTAACAGTAAATAACATTCTCTGGATTCGGAATTTGTTTAAATAATAAATGCAAATGATTATGAATTTACTTGTCATTGTGATATTACTTTTATAATGAATAGTTGTAAATTGCAAAAGGGTGTGTATTATAAATTTTATTGAAAATATTAAAGTATATAAATTGGTACAAAGAATTAATTAGGATATTATTTTTATTGATTTTTTATTTTTTCTGATAACAATAAAATTGTTTATTAGAATTATTATCCATTTTCTTTGTTTGTTGAGTTTTGTTAGTATTAAGTCTATTGTGTAAATTTATAATTGTTGAATTGTTGAGTACCATTTGGACTTGGATTCTCTTGATATTTGTTTGTTCTAATAAGATATAATTTCAATTATTGATATTGTTATCATTAAAGATGTAAAGTTATTTAATGTAATAAAGTTTTTTATTAACTAGTTGAATTGCAAATTTGGATCAGTTGAAGTCGTGAATAAAAAGTTAAAATGGTGTTATAGTTTCTCTTGGGATATTATATTAGAATAATTATTGTTACAGAATTTTATATTGTACTTTAAAGCTATAACTAATGTATAAGTTGATGTATTGTATATATATACTGGATAATTTTGTAGTATATATAGTGATTGGATTTTAAATTGTTATAAGTTTTTGCATTTTGAATAATTATATTAAGAGATTTGTTATTATACAGTATATTATAGGTTAATATTGATATTTTAAATTGTAATCTTGAATAGTTTGTTAATTAAATATGTTGAAATTATAGACCAGAATTGAAAAAGAGTTTTTTAATATTAAACTTGTTTTTTTTTATAGTAGAATAGACATTAGATGCCAATTATTTATTGATATATATATGATATTACAATTATATCAAACATTGTCTATTGTTATTACAATAGCTAAATATTAGCCTATCTACTTTTTATACCTGGCGATATGTTATTTATCCTTGAGGTATATCACATATTTTAAGGGAACCTATATAGAAGATGGAAATCCTATCACTAGTTTTAAACTATCTAACCTACCAGTTCAACTATTTGATAAAAGCAGTATAACCCTATTAACTGTTTACCTAAATTACTTAACATGTTATACCTTACTGCATGTAGCTAATGGAGCAAAGAAGTCCTAATGTGGATATATATTTTCTAGTAAATGCTCCTGATACTAATCTACTGATTGGTACTAACTATCAAATATAGGGGCTTTTGTGGCCAAGTGAAATATAACTTCTTAAGAATCATATAGGCCATACAAAACAAGCTTCAAAATTCCTTAATCTCCTAATAGACACTCCATTTTATGGAACTGGTTGGTATAGGCTATTAAATCTAGTAATATAAATGCCAAGCAGGGTACAACTTCTATATGCACAGTAAGCCATTAGGGAGTAATGTTTTTAATATTTTTCAAAGCTTCCTTATTTAACAGTTAACAGGAAAGGAAAGTGTTAAGCATGTTTGTTAAAATGAAGTACAGCCCAATCTGTACATCCAAATATATAAGTGGTTCTATAGCACCTTTTATAAACAATTATTATAATATTAATCAGATGATTATCACCCTACTACACCTTAATGAAAAGATCACAATCTTAATGTCCACTGAATCAGTATATGAAATGACTTCTTATGAAAATGTCACATAAATAATTATGGTGTCAGATATTATATTAACTCTATTCAATCACCTTCACATAGGATTGAACTGGTATCTTATAATCTAACTTTTAAAACATTAACCACTGTGCTATAGACCCACGGGTCTTTTAGTATTAAACTTATATATAATTTTTAAATATATTTTCTTTAAAAATATGGTTTGTAGTTTGAATTCTATATATGAAGTAAACACTTTATTTAAATACTTTATTATATTTTTCCTACAAGATCAAACTCACTTTATTTTATTTATTTATTTTTGTTTATATTACTATAATATAAATAAATTGTTACATGTATAAAAAAACTACCTATTTGATAATAGCTTGTTACTGGAACTTGTCTCTAATTTTCTTGAAGAATAATTAAAAGGTTTAAGTCAGCATTCCCAAGCTATATAGATAGTTGTTAATAATTTAAGCAAGATATAATTATTAAAAAACCGACTTTTTTTTTTTTAATAGAATGGACATTATATGTCAATCATTTATTGATATATATATAATATCACAATTATATCAAACATTATCTGTAATACTAAACTATAGCTAAATACTAACCTATTCTATTTTATTGCCCCAGTAATACCGTGACCTATGGGTCTATAGCTTAGTGGTTAAGCTCCATAGATCACTATCACATGAATCCGAGTTCAAGTTCTTCAAGAGGCAAAATATCTAAAAAATATTTTCAAGTGAATACGGAATCCGCCTATGGTGTTACATGTAACTAATCATTACCCTGATTAGATAAAAATCTACAATGTATGTGATAGGAAGACACAATTATCAGATTGTAGGTCTGAAAGAAACTCCCTACCGACAGGATGCACGACTGCATACCATATCGGGTCTAACTGCTGATGAAAAAAAGGCTTTGACTGACTAGATTGACCCTTACTGGGTTTAGATCGTTGGAAAACTTTAACCGGCGGGATACATAAAGGTATCTGCACCCATATTAGGTCAAACTGTTGGGAAAACTCTTGCAGAAGAAGGACTCTGCATATCAATGGGAGTAATAGTAAAAAGGTGTCGTGGTGTGACGATCGCTTGGTTGGTAATAGGC